TGTGCTCAAGGAACCAAACATGCATAAGATTAAAGTTAATTTTAGTAAATAAATTAGTATAATTAAATAAAAAATAGAATAAATTTAACACTTGTACTTATCAGAGACACAAAATCATTGATATAATTTGCTTGCTTATTATTTGAAATCTTAGCGAAGATCTTATTAAACTCTTCAACTAAAAATTCCCTAATCAACCCCTCCCAGTTAATTGATGAAACTCATCTACATTATTTGATATTATATGAAGCAACCAAGGGATTTTAAAGTTATTAAGTTGGAAAAATAAATTTAAACATAAATACATAATAAATATTTTTAACATAATCTCTCAAGGCTATATTTGTTTAACTACAATATGTCGGACTTTATATCCGTTGATGTGACTCCTATAGGAGCCAAGAAAAGCTAGGAGATATCTTCACCACTAGTTGAAAGACCAGTAAGAAGGGCCACTTCATCAACAATGAAATGTATAGCATGATCATATATAATAAAATATTGCCTTGAAATATTCTAAATTGTCATCAGCTCAAAAATAATTGGGATATTTTGCTTGAATCTAAAAAATTATAAAAATTGATATATATTTAATTTCTTCTAGTTGCCCTAAACATCAAGAGAAATTAACTGAGTAAAATTATTATAGATTGATCCAAAAGTCAAAATATAGCATCGATAGGAAGTAGGCTAAACATAGACCTAAATAAATTAAGAAATAAACAAATAAAATAAAAAAAATAGAAGATACGAAATAAAATATGCATACAATACGCAAAAAATGCACATAAAATATGTAGAACATACGCAGAATATACGCATAATCTATGTAGAACATACAAAAAAATTACACAAAATTTCAGCATAAATTACGCTGAATTTATGCATAACATACGCAAATATTCACACATAAATTACGCAAGAATTACTATTAAGTTAGAGAGTTCACACATAAATTATGCAAGAATCATTATTAAGTTAAAAATCACTAAACTTTATAATTTTTAATGTTTAGGTTTCTAGGGTTTAGTGTGTTTACTTGTTTTACATAGGAACATACACAAAACGTAAGCAAGTAATAAAAGCACATTTTTTATGTACGCAATAAAAACGCAGTACATGAGCATAAAATGGAGTAATTACATAGTAAAAAATCTAAATTAACACCACAAGCAACTAATTTTTTTTGTAGGTGACGCCATTTTGCAGGAGATGATAGAATGTCAAAAGTTACAAGGAGAATAAAATGCAGGAACTTCGGAGAACCGCGAATGCCAATGTTGAAAAATGAATAGAAGCTTGAAATGTGAAATTTTTTTAACATTTCACCTTTTTACCTTCCTCTGGGCGGGCAGGTGTCAGGCTGAGAAGACAGATTAAAATCGGCCCGATAGTCAAAGCGGGCAATTTATGTAGGTAATGCATGTCGGCAACTTCCACGTAGGCAAACCACGCGTAACATTTTTTATTAGCTTCCGGACGTTGCTTTACATTCAGACTCTGCACAGAATAATTTTTCCCATCAACGGTAGGGGTTTTCATACTTTGTTCCCTTCTTTCGATCAGAGTTTAAACGGACAAAGCCGTTAAGCTAAAAGATCAACATTGTTTGCACCTAATTATATAGTAATTATATATTCAAGAAATTATTACATGTGGAGTCGAACTTCAATGAAATAGTATTTTAATGTATATTATTTGTAGCCAGTGACCTGACCACTAGGTCCATCAACTTTGATTGGGGCTCAATTTTAAGAAAATAATCCATGAGAGGTCTCTAGATTTTAGGGTTCCCAGATTTTAGAATTTTAACATAAAAATATTTTGATACTGAGAAAGAAAAATGAGAAATAGACAATAAATATGAAGATTGATTTGGAGAACATTGCATTCTTGGAGAAGATGATGTGATGTAGGTTTCAACTTATCGATAAATTTTAAACTCCTCCCAAACTTTACTATTTTTCCTATGAATGTACATTTTGTTAAGCTTGATTTTTTCAACTGAGATACCTATCGTAGAAGCAACTACAACAAAATAGTTTTTACATTCAAGACAAATCAAGTTCTCAAACATGCTTGAATGCTTCAATGAATAATTTATAAATGGGGCTACAACTAGTCAGCTGACATCTAAGTCAATCCTAAAATGAATTCCTCATTGATTGGTTGCTGCCCAGTTTATAAATTCCTCATTGAAGCATTCAAGCATGTTGGAGAACTTGATCTGCCTTAAAGATGAAAACCATTATATTGTAGTTGCTACTACGGTAGGCTTCTCTGTTGAAAAAATTAAGCTCAACAAAATATACATTTACAAGAAAAGTAATAAAACTTTGGAGGAGTTTCTAATTTACCAATAACTTGAAACCTACAACATGTCATCTCCTCGAAGAATGTATCATTCTACAAACCAGTCTCCATCAAAGTGTAAGTATTAATTATAGTAATGTGACTTATATTTTTTTTCATTATTTATATTTCTTTAATGTAATTAATCAGCTCTGGATATCAAATTGATCTGATTGTTAAATAAATGAGAAAAGAAAAAAAAAGTAAGAAGAAAAGATATATAAAGAGAAAAAGAAAAAAAAATTCTTCCACTATAGACCTCAGGACATTACAAAGTAGTATAAGAGCAATGGTTATTAGAAAAATTGAAATGTAACTAGAGTTTATGAGTAGAATAGGAATGAGGCTATATTTTACATTTATGAATCTTAAAGATTTGTTTAACTGTTCAGGCACAAAAAAATGAATCAAAGTGGGAAAGAACTTCTAATCGATCAAAATAGTTGAGCACCTTATATTACACCAGAGGGTGTATTGGAATTGGTTGATATAACTGTTGAGTTGGTAGGTGAATAGTTGGCCAAGCAGTCTAAATAAATGACTTTCTGAACATAAACTTCCACCGGTTAGGAGAATGACTGAAGGGAGCAAGAAAAATATTATGAAAGTCTATGTTCCTTAGTGTGTTTAGTGTGAAAGAAGGCATGCAATCAATGTTATAGAGTAACAGAGCAGTGGTTCAAGTGTCATGCTATTTTGGTAATATTATTCTTTACTTTACCATTGGCCATTACTCTTTTTAGTCTAGTCATGCTATTTTGACTTAGATGGTTCTCTTAGTCACTCTTTTAATTATAACTCTTTTTAGCCTACTTATGCTATTTTGGTTAGATTTTTTTCATTGACCATCCATGCTCTCTTGTTAGGTTTGTTTCTTAAATCATTCATACTCTCTTAACTAAGTCTTGTCTCGATTTAGTCATGTATCTTTGGCTAAGTTATTATATTATGTGATCATATCTTTCAAATGGACAGCTTTGGTTTGCTTATACCCATGTAACCAAATAATTTACTTCTTTGTAAGTCGAATGTCTCTAATTAAATATATCAACCATATGAATATTTGGAGCTCTTTCTAAAAATCTAAAATTCTTATCTTTTGAGTATTTGAAATCCCATTCATATATCTTAATCTTCGAGTTTGAAGTTTAATAATTTCAACAACCTCTCTCTCATATTGTTGTATTTATACTTACATGTAGTTATGTTAGTACAAATTAGCTATGAAGATGGCTTGTTGCTATGATAGGCTGACTATCACTATCAAGTGATAGTTCACTTGATAATTACTTTGGACATATCACCTTAATCAATTTAAAAATTTAAATCCACTATTTAAGGCCATATGTTAGCCCAACTCTTTAAAAATCTTTAAATTCCTATTTCTTGAAAGTTATAAATAGATATATATTTATTTTCAATCTTCATCTAAATAATCTCATTTATCTTGTTCAAACCCATTATAAGTATGAATCAACACAATCATTTAAATCATGTTCCTATAACAAAATTTAAAGATTAACAATGTTAGCCCATGATTTCCAAAGTCGAATTAGACTTTTTTTGGGACGACTTTCTTACTGCTTTTTAAAACAGATTTTTAACGCAAAAAAAAATAATTTGAACTAAAAATTTTTGTACTAAAAATCTACTTTATAAAACAGTAAGAAAGCAACAGAGCCTTAGGCTTCGTTTGGGGCAGCTTTCTTATTGCTTCTTAAAACAAGCTTTTAGTGCAAAAATTAAAATTTTTATACTAAAAAGTTACTTTAAAAAGTAGTAAGAAAATTGTCCCAAATAATTCATTAAACTACTTCATCCAATTCAATCATAACTTTCTCTTCCTAATGTAACAAGAAATCTCAGCTGAAAGGATGATGATATTAGCAAAGAAAATGATTGTAAGCGCATGGAAAAGCTAAGAACAACGTTGCTCAAATTTGCTAATAGGATAGTTTGACATGAACATAATCAAGGGCATTTTTATTCGAAGCAAATTTTCAATCATATTTTCTTAAATAAAAATATAAAATGTATATTAATCCAAATTTCAAATAATTGAACATAATATATTCTCTTCTATGCAAGCTCATAGACAACCCTCTCACAGCTCGGTTATGTGCATCACATGTTTTGTATATGACCGTTGAACCACTCTCCATACACGCTCATACTAAAGACTATTCATTTATAAAATTTAAAAAAAAAAAAACATATAACTGTTTGATTGTATATATTCATTTAGACTTTCATTTGGGACAGCATTTTAAAACAGCTTTTTGACATAAAAGTTTATAGTTCAAAGATCTTTTGTGAAAAAAAAAAATTACTTTAGAAAACAGTAAGAAAGCTATCCCAAATGAACCCTAATTTCTCCAACATTGAAGCTTCTTTGGAGTTTGCTTTTTTTCTCTTATAACCATCCACCTTTCTGCTTTTAATAATTGCTTTCAAATCTTATAAAAAACTGACAAAAATTGAAAGATATAAATCATATCAAACGAATCATCAAATAAAAAGAGGATGCCTTCTAAAAAATAGTTAGAATTTAGTTTTACCCCTCTTCCTGCCTGCAAAGATAAATTCTTCAATCACCTCAGAGAGAAACAGTGCTGCAGATTATCAGAAAATCATTTAAAGCAAAGAAATTTAGAACACCAAATCATCCTGACATTGTGCTTTCAGTTTTCTTCAAGTGAAATAGCCATATACAATTTCATATCTTAAGTGGAACAAAACTTCCAAAATTTTGTATCTTAGCAACTGAGGTTTTATGGTTTTGTCCTCAAAAGCTACAATTTGGTGTTTATTTAAGCTTACAGAGGTAATTAACACAAAACTGTTCAAACGGCCTTAGATAATGCACATACAAGTAAACTATACACAGGCTATGCATAGACGTAGAATAGATATATCTCCACCAAGACAATATTGAAACTTGGAGCTTGTAAACTCGACATGGCTTCTTGACAGGGAAGGAAAACCAGACCTCAAAACGTAGGAAAATGGAATCAAATTGTTAGAAAATAACAATGGAAACTTTTCTCAGTTCATATTTGAATGTGTAGTTTGTTTCTCACACCTCTTCATAGACTTTCCTTCAACTTATGTTGCGAGGCTGCCAAGTAATTCACAAGATAAACCATCCAGTTTTTAATGCATATTCTCAGGGTCACATAGAAGTGGCCATGGACATACCTGCATCTGCAATAGGCATAAGAGAAGACCCAGAAGGATTGTGAAAAAGAAGGTGGGCTACAATCCGGTCGATAGGATTAGTAACTGCCTCTGAGTCTATCAACCTGGAATACCTGCAGAAAATTCTGCTATTAATTCATAGTATTTTGCAGAATTGCAAATGAGGCAAGGAGACTAATAAGAATGGGATTTCAGTTCATGTGAGTACATTTTTATCTGAAAAATTATACCTGTTCTGGTTGTTTGATTCTTCATCTGCAGAAATTTCATCTTCTTCCTTGTTGCCCTTGTTAGTGCTGCTTCTGTCACTAATATTCTGTCTTTCCATGGCGCTTCTGGCTAGACGATACAAGCTATCACGTATGCTGAGCCTAACATTCATGTCCAACTGCAAAAGAGAGCATTAAGCATTTCAAATATTAATGAAAGTAATAAGAAAGACCAAACCAATCAGGAACTGAAGGTACCAACCTTTCCCATGGCATCTTGAAGCTGATAATATATAGCTTCTTCGACAGAGTGACCGTCAAGGGAAGAAGATATCATCTGAGACTGATCTTGTTCTGCTAGACTGCTAGCATCTGATGATAATAGCTTTTGTGCAAGCTCTTCCACAACACCAGTATTTCTGGTCACACCGTGATTCTGGTTATTTTGCAAGCAAGCCAGAGAGGGAGCTTCATCAGAGCCGGAGATTTGATGATTATATTGCTCTCGTTGCTTTTGAATGGCAAGCATGGCCTGCATTTGCTGCCTCCGTCTCAGTTTTTCTATCTTTTCTTGAGGGGTCATGATCAATGGTTTAGAAGAAGTCCCTACTGGTTTTGAGTGCTTTGAGAAATCTAGATGAGCTTTGAAAGAACCAGAGACGGGCTTATGCTGGTTCCTTGCTGCATGAATTTGAGGTGGCAATGGCATACCATGAAACTGATATCCAGGATATCCGAAATCGGTGAGCATGATGTGATGAGACGAGTTTGCTTGTTCCAGGAGTTGAGATTGGAATGTTGGTAGAGTATTCATGGCTGAAGCTTGCAGTTTAGGACTAGATATTTGTTGGTTTTCATTATACAAGAATTTATTTAGGCCTTGAGAAGATCCACCTTTTCCTTTTTCTTCCTTATTCTTTTTAGTCCTCTGGGTTTGATTTTCCATATCCGCCTGCAAAATTGAAATAAGTGGCAATATGAGGTAATCAAAATTAACTGAAACCATATAACTAATAAGATGATGTAAGAGAAGGATGGAAGTGTAAAAAAAAGGACAAAGGAAGAGAGGGAAAACTGCAGTTCAATACATCATAACAATTTATTTAGGGACTTTGCTTAGCTACAAAATGGGTGTAAAGATGAATAGAATGTCGGAAAATGCGACCTTTTTTGTTTAGTTTGCCGCAAAACTGCTGTATTACTTTACAACAACCCAATTTTAGTTCATTTACTTTTCAAAGCCTCTGCAAAGCAAATGCTACCAATTTGGTTGCATTTGCATTGAGAGGTTTTGTTCAAACGGTAAATTATTTGCATAAACAAATCTAGAGAGAATAAATGCATGTGAAGGTCCAACATTCACAGATATAAAGGATAAAACTAGCCAGAGCTCTCCACAATAATCTGATGTAGAATCCATATAAGATCCCCATCATGCAATACTGTTAAATTCAGAGAATTGGATAGGAAAAAAGCTTAATTTTATTACACAAAATTATCCCTATTTATAGATCTATACAAGATATCTTAATAAAGAAACAAATAACTAGAGAATCATACATAATTGCCCTAATATAATTCTTCATAAATCAGCCACCCGAATATGGAAGTAGATCGGCATGATCTAGGTGAACCTCCCACGGATCTCCATACTAGCCATAGGATCAAAGAGTAAGGAACAAATGGGATGATATTTGCCACTCCCCCTCAAGATGGAGAATACAGATCTGTCATTTCCAGCTTAATAATCAGCCTCAAAAAGGTAGAGCTATATTAAGCAGCGTGACAATGAAGGTTGTATTGGTTATAGATAGAATAACTGCAATAAGGGAAGGCCGGCAATGAAGGCACAACAGTATAAAGGAAAATAAATTTGTTTTAAGGGTTGTAGCAAGCTTCAGAGACAGCAGCAGAAAAAACAAGTCTCAAGCGGCTCAGCACTTGGCATGTAGATCTCTTCCCATCCGATCGAGCCAGCCTTCGGCCCCATGCAAATCAGTCGTTTGACTCCATCCGAATAGACACCTATTTGATCTTCCCCAAATAAGTGCATGCAAGGCCTCTGATCCCTCTAATATGATCGTCGGAAGGAGTGCAGGACTCACACTCTTTCTTGTCCCGACCATAGACCCACATGAGAGGGAACTCTCGGCTTTTTCAGATGCACGCAAGAGGAAGTCCTACGCTCGACTTCTCTCGCTTCTGCTCGGTCAACTTTGGACTTTGCATGCAGGAAGGAAGATCAGTATTGCTTAGAATTCCGACAATGAAGGCTAGTGGAATGACCAGTATTCATCAGAATTCCAACAATGAAGGTCGGAGATGGAAGACCCAATATTCCTCAGAATTTCCAGCAATGAAGGTTGATGATGGGAAACTGTATTCCTCAGAATTCCGGTAATGAAGATCGGTGGTGAGCCCACCTGGAGAACCAACAAGTGCTTGCTCCTTCAGGGTAGGATAAAGTGCTTCTAATCTCTTTGTAACCTTCACTCGAGAAGAGGGGATAGGAAAGTAGCCCGCATCAACAAATCAAGTGCAAAATGGGGACAATGCGCTCTCCTTGTCTAACACTACCATTTATTAGAATAGGACGAGGCCTTGCAAAATGCGGACAATGCCCTCTCACAAGCCGTTAAAGCTCCTAAAATTCCACCAAAAGCTCTAGATCTACCCCTCTGCAATCATTTAACTCCATTAAGCCATCCCTAAACCCATTACTGAAAGAGTTGAACTAATTCAATCCAAACAAGAACCATTTAAGATAGCCAAAATTTCCCCACCTTCAAACCACCCAAAGAACACACATTAAACCAACCCTAGATCACATCTCTACATCATAAGCCAGCCATAAATAGTCATCTCCAACCATTACTCTGCTTATAAAGCTTCCCACCACCATCAACTTTAGAATCAGAGCAAGCTTGGGAGGAGGATTTTCAAGAAACAGTTGAAGAGAACTTTTTCAGCAAGAGGAGCTTTGCTTGTGGTGGAATTTTGTCATACTTGTGAGCTATTCTTGAACATTTGAGGTGATTTAATTCGTTTCTTAATATAATATAAAGTCATATTAAAAGCTCATCAATAAGGTATATTGCTTGGTAGCCCATGGTGAATGCATATCCTTCTAATTCACTATCTCCACTATAAAACCTAGCACATCTTCCTTTGTTTGAACTTATCAATAGCCTTCATTGGACTGAAAAACATAGAGTGAGAAAGTTACACTCATAAAACAATCCCACCCCTACAACATAATAAAATTTAAACTACTTGTGTTATTTTCTATAAGAGAAAAGGACCAAAATGGCTCATCAACTCTTTGTGAGGGACAAAATAGTCCCTAACTCTTTTGAGGGACCAATTTGGTCCCTCAAATCTTAAAATGGGGCATTTTTTATCCTAACATCAAATTTTTTGGTTAATGGTGTTAAATCAAGGGGTATTTTGGTCAATTTTTAATTAAACTATTTATTAAATACAATTTTTAATAGGATGGTTGAAGTGAAGGAATGCATTGGGCCTGTTATGAAGTACATCTCAAATTTATAGAAAAATTTTATAAGATGGTAGTGAGACCAGCAATACTTTATGGGGTAAAATATTATCCATTAAAAGAGAAGCATAAAATTAAGTTGAGTGCTGCATAGATGAAGATGCTCAAGTGGATAAGTGACTTTACACTTAAAGATGGAATACGAAATGAATATATACATGAAAAGGTTGGAGTAGCTCCAGTGCTAGATAAGATTAAATAGAGCCAACTTAGATGGTGTGGTCATATAAAATGTTGGCCTTCTGATGACCCCATTAGGAGATTAAATCTATTGGATGTGGCCTATGTTAAGTACGGTAGATGTAGACATAAAAAAGGCTTGATTAGAAAGTATTACAATGACATTTTTTATTAAATTCAAATGAGAATTTGACTCCTAATAGAACATAATGGAGAAAAAGGATTCATGTAGCCGACCTCATGCATTCGAATAAAGGCTTATTGTTTTTATGTTGGTTGCTGTATTGGAAACATAAACCTTTTGATGTTTGCTCGCCCAACTATGTTGAAATCAAATGTTGCATCAGTAATGCCTTTTTTTGTGGAGTATAGTCCGAATTAGACTTTGAACAATGGGTTGGGACAAGTGTTTGGTCCATTAATTTGGCTAATTAGAAAGCTTGCAATAGCAACTGTAAGCGTAATGAGCAAACTTCTTGCCATATGTTGAAGCACAACCCTGATTCAAAAAAAGAAATGGAGAAAAAGATGAAGGGGTGGCTAAATTTTGATTTGCAAGTTCTTCGAAGCATTGTAAAATTTTTTTGACAAACAAAGTTGGTTCAATTTAACCAATTAACCCAGCAAACCTGTATACAATGATACACCGAAGCCTTTAAGAACATTCAACTTAAAAGAGTTCCAAGAACTCAGTTGTTTATTTAGGTGCTTTTGGTACCAGCTCAAAGCCAACTCATCTACGTGCACCGATGCTATAAGAAGACATTCTTCCTCTAAAAGATTATGATAAAAAAAATAAATGGTCAACTTTGAGGGTTGTCACTATGGAATTGTTGTATGTGCATTTTGAGTGCTCTGAGACTTGGTGGACACTTTCAGGGTAAAGAGCTGTGATTGGAGCATGTTCCATAGAAACTTCCACGACACTGCACCCCCACTTAGTCTCAAACCAAAAAAAGCAACGAGACAGATCATTAGAATCATACTAAGAGAAAAAAATCTGCTCTCTTAGTTTCTCTTTTTAGTTAGTAGCTGTATTTATAAGTTTTTCAATCACTTTACTATTCGCTCAGGAAAAGATTGTGCTATCGCACGAACCCCATTTTCATCAGCTTTAGGTTCCATTTCCTCCCGAGGTAGATTAGAATTAAAATTAACCAAATTTCGCCCGATGATCAGCATCAGAGTTTACTTAGTTCTAAGGTTCTACTTCCTATGAGCTCTCATAGTTAATTACACCTCCTAACGCGTAAAAGAGAATTCTTGATTAAGGATGAATCAATATTTAGACGTGCAACTGTTTTAATTTTAGTTGTGGGGGATGGAAGTAAAACCGATCAAGATTCCATGATTCCGTCGTCTCGAGTATACCGTAGGTTTCAGTCTACTAACACTCACAATCGTTGATCGTAGTGTCCAGGAAATCTGATTAGCAACCATGGGTTGCCACCTCTCAGGGATCCCGAGTAAACTGAAATTGATATGTGTGAATTTTGATTTTATTATGATTTGAGGTTTACATCTGTTAGAATACTCAATATTTAATATAGTTTAAGATTTATGACTTCATTTAGAAGTTAACCAGTTGTTTGATTTAGATTTGGGGTCGGGGCTTACGGCTTTCATTAAAAATAGCCCGTGTAGCGGGTCTTACGGCTTCCCTTGGAAGCAGCCCATATGTTTAAGAAGTTGGGTCTTACTGCTTTCATTGAAAGTAGCATGTTAGTTTAAGAAATTTGGTCTTACTACTTTCATTGAAAATAGCTCGTGTAGCGGGTCTTACGGCTTCCCTTAGAAGTAGTTCGTATGTTTGGATTTGGGGAAACAGCTCGTATAGCAGGTCTTACTGCTTTCCTTGGAAGTAGCCCATATAGTAAGTCTTACGACCTCTATTAGAGATTGCCAAGATTATCAGGGATGTGTTATTTATTCTGGGAAAGTTTTTCCTAACACCCTAATTAAAGTGATACTTATGGCCTTTATTAGAGGTGGCTCGTGTAGCCGGATTTAGGGTTATATTATTTATACCGAGAGGTTTCCCCTTATGCATTAACCAAAGTCGAAGTTACGACCTTTATTAGAAGTTGTTAGTTAAACTTTAGGTTAGCAGGACTTTAGTAGCGAGGTTTTAGCAACAAACATTTGGCTTTGCACCCTCCACTGCTTTGACACTAGCACTAGTGTTTACCTACAATGCTTTTCTTTCCTACTTTAGTAGCTTATCTTTCGCTTTAGTCATTGTTTTAGCTTCAGTACATTATTTCCAGTACTTTGTTCCGTCTATAATTCTAGATTCCTTTCAGCAATAGTCTTGCCTGTAGCAGTAGCTTTACATACTTGTTTGTTCTTTCCAACACTTGTTTTGTTCTTTCCGGTACTAATTTTGTTTACCCTGCACAAACTTTAGTCTACTTGTTTGTAGGTATTTTTGTCTAGCAATTACAGGAGCTGAAGCTTGCAATTGTAGGGTTTACAATGGGATGGAGTTCGCCAGGAGTTTGAGGGATTTTGGTGAGGATTTTTGGAGCTTATCTTTCAGTTTTAGTTTTATTTAGTTTTAGGAGTTTGGATTTTAGTTGGTATGTGTTGTACTTAGGTTGTTTAGTGTGAATATTCTTCTTTAAATATTTTAATGCATTTTATTAAATTTTGAATTAATTTGCATTAATTAATTAAATTTTAGACTTAATTTAATTAATTTAAAGTTTTAAATTTTATTTTAAATTAATTTCTCAGCTCGTTAATTAATTTTAAATGATTTTAAACTTATTTAATTATGTCTAGTTTAATTATTAATTGAATTAAAGATTGGTTGCTCAATAAAATTAATTAATTTCAAAGATTTTAAAATTTTAATGAATGGTTTATTGATTAAATATTAATTTAATTTAATTAAAGTTTAAATTTTAATTAGATTTTAAATTAATTAAAGTTCTGATTAAGTTTTAAATTAATTATTTTAATTCGATTTTAAACTAATCAATTATTCAATTAATTGAATTTTAGTTCAAAATTGATTAATAAATTATTCAATTAATTGACACAGACATCTTCAAAAGGCTTGTGCGACTGGAACGAGAATATGAGAATATCGAGAGGGAGAGGTGCCTTTGGTTCCGAGAGAGCTAGAGAGTTCGAATGAGCGTGTGGTTCGGTTGTTGTCGTATGAGGAAGTTTTGTCACGAGAGAAGCAGTTGTGAGATCGTGTAATTGTGCGTGAGTGGGTCGGTGAATGGGCAGATGGTTGGGCTTTGTTTGTTTGCGAGCGTCGGTCGGACCGGTTGATTAGACGTCAACATTTACAATAATATTGCTTCCCTTTAACAATTGTAACTAGTTGCAACAAACTCTAACGAACTAACTGCATACAGCTCATTCAATTTTTATACTCTATTTCAATTTGTATACTCTATTATTCTAAATCAACTTGGAACAAAAATTTTTATCAATATGGGTTTGTATCTTGTTCTTGCCTAACGTCCATCGATGTGCTGGGAAGCTTCATGTCATTAGCGGGAAAGCAAAGTGAATCAGGAATGAACCTAATGACTGAAGCAGATGTTTGAAGTATTCCATAATTCCAAGTAAGCACAGTTGATAATTAATCAATTTTTTTTTATTTTGAATAAGTAGTGAAGGTGATGCTTCAGATGGTAAGAATAGCTTGACGAAAAAGATCTCAGATATGTGATGTTTAGCTATTCTCTAGCATGGTTGTTAATGCCAAGATTAATTAAAAAATTGCCAGCGGTTAGTAGGAAACACATCTATCTGATATTTTCGGATTCACGCATTATAAAAACTTGAAGCGCATCACAATCCAGTTAACTTTTATTACGATGAAAAAGACATTTGTGATTACTTCAATTTTAGACCACTAGCTACCAGTTAGTAGATTATGTGGAAGTATAGCTCACAACAGATATCTATTTTCCTATTGAAGCTACAAAATACCATATTTGAGGACAATATGCAAACCAAAAAGGTTAAAACTTCATCTCGTATAACATCTGGCTGCAAATTCCAGAAGATTCACTGCCAAGATAAGCATGACATGAAATCTGCCCGTTAGAATTCAAAATTATATATTCTGTCTGCCAAAGTAAGGAACATTCTCCATAAGAATCACCTATTAGTACGCCTAAAAAAGATGAATTTTCACGCAGAGGACTTGCCTTCCCCTTCTGCGAAGGATTCACTTTTACATTTGAATGTTCACCTAAATGATGAGAGGAAGAGCCTTCTTCCCAAGCTTGTTCCCTGGCAATTGGAATATCCTGAATGCAAATAAAGAAGAATCCTCTCGCATTATTGCAGGCATGTAGCAAAAACTTCTTTGAAATAATATAAACTAATATTTTGCAAACTTACAGGCACAGGAATGGACTGGGAAGTGCAGCTAATTAACTCTGCAGATGCAGTGAGAAAGGTATCGGTGTTGTCAATCATTTCATTTCCAAATATTGAATCATTGCTTCTGTAGAATCATCATTTAAAAATGCAATGAAAAATATTCATAAAATAATTTGAAAAAAAGTTCAAGAAATTCTTACCTAAACATCTTATCAAGATCACCAAAGTCTTCAATGTCAGCCCAGTCATAGTCCATAAATTTGTCATTTTCCTTCTCATCATGCCCAAACAGCTCAGGCTCACCATTAAGCTGCATCTCATTGCCATTTAAGAGAATAGATGTTTTGCTTAAAGATGATGAATCCTTGTCATGAAGCAGTCCACTAGAATGATTGTATTCTTCCATAAAACCCCCAACAGACTTAAGATCAGAGGTATTATCAAGGTCACTCACCAATCCAGTTACAACAGAATCTTGAACGATTTCATCATTGAAGCCTCCACCAAATGACATGCTTAAGTTAGGCAAGTCAGGCCATGAATCCATGTCAATGCTTGCATCATTGAGTTCTTGACTTGTATTACTGCTGGAGCTGGTTTTCACATTGCAAACGAGAAAATTATTTTTAGTTCCGCAAGTTTCCATTGCAGAACTTATAGCATTGCAATCATCTTCACTTCTCTGCTTCTTGCTACACCTTTCAAACTTTGAGAAAATATTTCCATCACGTTCCTTTGGTTGGGGAACAATATGGTCTTCTATTTCTTTATGTTCACCCCATAACGTGTCAACAACCTGAAAAGCATAAAAATGATGGTATTAGAGACCAAATTTAGAAAAGGATCAAAGGCTAAGGTCATTCTACTGTTTATATATATCCAAATCATCTTCTTATAAGTATTCTTAAAAGGTTTTAACTTGGGATTAAGAGAGGTGGGGCTCTATGATCATATATGACTCAGAGACCATCAAATATTTTGATTGGATGGTTCTTGTTTAGTATCAAACCAAAGACTAAAGATTTAGGTTCAATGACTACAATCAAACACATAACTAATTTTATTAGAACAAAGAACTCTTACTTTGTTTCCTACGTCTTGCATGCAATGATCATCTTCCTTGGATGGGGCTGAAGTTTACTAATGATACGGGCTTCAAGTAGGCAATTACTGACTCGATCTCCATCAAGAGATTGAAACATGCCTAGTTTTATTGTCCCCTAACGAATGAATAAAACACACACTAGCAATATGATATGCAACTTTAAAAGGTGTGATGGTAAGGTGTAATAGATTTATGTATTTTGGATCTATTATATAAAAGAATAGAGATATAGAAAAAGAAATAACTTCTGAAGTACATTTCGTGTGATAGGAGGTCCATGAAGGCCTAAAGGTAAATTTTACAAAACTCTCACTAAATTGATGATGTTGTGTTGACCCGAATATTGGGAAATAAAAAATTTATTTATATCTAATTGAGTATAACAAAAATAAAAGTATTAAAATGAATATGTGAAGAAATTAGAAAGAATAAAATATGAATGAATATATTAAAAAAGCAGTTGGAGAATCGTTTACTAAAGATGAAGTAATTAAAATTAGTTTGTCATTTAGACACACTCAATGAAGGGTAGATGATGAGCCTATAATAAAGGCGGATAAAATAAATGAAAGGATTAGAAATGAAAAGAGGTAGAACTAAGATTAGATAGAGAGAAGTTGTTCAAAATAATTTATAAATATAAATTTAACTCCTCAGATAGCACTCAATAAGAATGAATAAAAAATGAGAATTCATAAAACTGATCTCAAATAGCTGTGATAAAGTTAATGATGATGTTAACTTCATCTACAGAAAATTTCATCTTTTTATATAATTTGGCATTTTTTTAGAATATTAAAATGTTGTTTTTGCACTTTATGCATAATACTAGACCATCTTATATATTTTTTGACAATTTTTCCTATACTTAATATTTCCAATGGGAAAATTCTTTTTAGGCATATTGAAGATAACTTCTAGGGAATCTTTGGCATGTATGCTTTCAAGCCTATAAATACCGTTTCATTATATCTCACCATGGTCAATGAAATCTATATAAACACTTGCATTATTTCTTGAAAGTTTCTTAAGACTGCACGGCTTTTTATTATTTTCTCATGACTTTTGTGGTGAGAATCTTCCCACCAATCTCTCGTAGGATTGGATTTTTTGTTGTTTCACGTGTTTAGTGAGAAAAAGGATTAAAATAATCCCTTAACTCTTTATGAAAGATCAAAATAGTCCCCAAATATATTAAAGGACCATTTTGATCTCTCAACTCATTAAAGAGTGTTAAAATTTAGTCGTTCCCAGTGCAAAGAATCCAACGGACACAGAGATCAATCCGTGGGAAGCTCTCATGGATCACGCCATAATGAAGGAACTAATTTAGGAAAGATTTTATTAGGCATTGAATCTGTAATTTATTGTTTCCTCATTAAGATATCTTGTATAGATCTATAAATAGGGAAGATATTACTGAATAAAAGTGAGTCTTTTTTCCCTCTCAAATCTCTAGTTTTAACATCAAATCTCTAGTTTTAACATGGTACCAGAGCCAACGGCCTTCATTGTCGTGGAAGAAAGATCGTAGATTGCCAAAGAAATTGAAGAGGAAACTATCGTGAAGAAGAGACCTTCATTGCCCTAGAAGCTAGTCGTTGAAACCAACGACGCCAGTCTCCTCCGCGTGCAGGACAAGTCGAACGAGAGACACGTCGAAGGAACAGCACGAAGGAGCCAAAGAAACCTCCGTGCCCTATCCTCACCCGGCGAGCAGAACGACTACGTCATTGTTCGCAACCACATCCTTGGTCACTGGCGCACCAACGTCCGCTCCTGGCTCTTCAAGTCCCAGATTCGTGAGACCGTCCACAGCGACTACGATCACCTCATCTCCACCGCGTACGACTTCCTCTCTGAGCATGGGTACATCAATTTCGGTGTCTTGCATGCCATACACTCCCATTTCCCTGAGTGCATGAGTGTGGATCAATCATCATCGTCGGCGCTGGTCTTGCTGGCCTTGCCGCGGCACGACAATTGATTGGTTTTGGCTTCAATGTGTTGGTTCTAGAGGGCAGGGATTGTCCGGGCGGAAGGGTTTATACTTCAAAAATCGGGAAGATTGGGAATTTTGCCGTCGTTGATCTCGGCGGCAGCGTCATAACTGGAATCCACGCGAATCTGCTTGGGGTCTTGGCGAGGAAGTTGGGTCCGGAGGACTCGCATGCAAGATCCGACCGCAAGAACGCATGTAGCGACTTTCGACCCCAGGAGCTCCAGTCGTGGTCCCGACAGGAAGGGCTAGTCGTCGAAGGAGCACGGTCGAACAGCCACGAACGAGCCGAAGAAGACCTCCTACAACGCACTCGAAGCCAAACAGGGAGAGCCGACGAAGCGAAGCCACACAAAGTCCAACCAATCCGCCTCCTTGCAGCAGCGCGACGAAGTTTGACTCGCCTGTACCCATCGATTTCAGCCGCATACAACCGGCCCATCTGCGCCTGCTCGATCCTCCTTGCATCCGCAGAGACGAAGCAGCAATAAGCCTTAAATCAGATTTAAAATCTGATTAGGACCTAATATCAGACTTTATTGATGATATAATCAGCCTTTATTGCTGACATTATCAGCCGTCATTGCTGATAGTCTTGTGATATAACAATGACTGAAGAAAACTCCTCCCAAAGCTTCAATAAAGAAGACATTGAAAGGCTCAGACAACTCCTGGTATCCCTTAAAAAACCTCATGCACCTCCCTCTCTTGCACTTTTAGGTAAGTTTTCCATATTCACCTGATTAAGTACCTCAAAAAATCATTGGAAAGGAATATAGATCATTGACTCAGGAGCCACAGATCATATGAAAAACTCCACTACCCACTTCATCAACTATGATCCTTGCCTAATAGACAAGAAAATCATCACGGCTAATGGTTCTTTTGTTAAAGTAGAAGGCCAAGGAGATATACATTTATCCCCTTCCCTCACTCTAAAAAATGTGCTTCATGTTCCTCAATTATCCACAAATCTTATATCCATACAAAAACTTACCAGGGACCATAATTGTCAAGCTTTATTTAACCCTACTTTTTGTCTATTTCAAGATCAGGAATGGGGAAGATGATTGGACTTGCTAAAGAGAGAGGTGGGTTGTACTACCTGGAAGAGCCAAACAAATCTAGCTATTCTATGTTATCCCTAGTTGACAAGAAATCTACCATTTGGCTTAATCACTTTAGATTAGGACATCCATCAGTTGAAGTCCTGAAACACATTTATCCAAAACTTTTTCATAAATTGGAAAATGAAAAATTTCATAGTGAAACCTGTGAATTAGCCAAACATAAAAGAACCTCCTTTCCAAACAAGAACGAAAGATGCAATACTCCTTTCTATCTCATTCATAGTGACATATGGGGACCCTCAAAAATCCCCAACATCTCTAGGGCTCGTTGGTTTGTATCCTTCATTGATGACTGCACTCGGGTTTCTTGGATCTATCTCCTCAAAAATAAATCCGACGTTAACACCATTCTTCCCATTTTTCATACCATGATCCAAAATCAATTCGGTGTCAAAATAAAGAAATTTCGTTCAGACAATGCTAAAGACTACTTCAACCAAACCCTACACTCTTACTTTCAGAGTGAAGGTATCATCCACGAGTCCTCCTGTGTCCACACCCCACAACAAAATGGGGTTGAAGAAAGAAAAAAAGGTCACCTCATAGCCTCCACTCGTGCCTTCCTACTCCATCATACTATACCCAAATCCTACTGGGGAGAAGCTCTCCTAACTTCCGCCTACCTTATAAACCGACTTCCATCAAAAACTCTGGGAATGAAAGCTCCAATGGATATTTTGTCCTCCTTTTACCCCGATTTAGAACACATAATAACCTTACACCCAGAATCTTTGGGTGCACTGCATATGTTCACATCCACAGCCAGAACAGAGGAAAACTAGATCCAATGGAACTCAAATGTATCTTCATTGGATACTCTGCCACCCATAAAGGGTACAAATGCTATCACCCCCCTACAAAGAAAATGCTTATATCCTTTGATGTCACTTTTGATGAACAAAACTCCTACTTTACCAAACCTCATCTTCAGGGGGAGAGTGAAATAAAGGAAGATGATGAAAATAAGCTTGAACCTCTTGACCTTTCTCCACCACATCAAACCATTCCTCCTGAAACTCAAATTAGCAAAGCTTAAGATAAAACTATCCTTAGATTTGGGAAGATATATTTCAGGCGTACAAGTTCAACCTGTGCTCCGAAGCAGATCCAAAAATCTGAGCCATCTCCTGAAAGTAAAGATAACTCTCCACTTCCCTTATATCCTATAGCCAACTCTATATCCTTCAATAATTTTTCCTCCACCCACAAAAACTTCCTGGTTACACTAGATGATATTCATATTCCTAAAGATATTTCTGAGGCACTATCTGATGTAAATTGGAAAAATGTCATGAAAGATGAAATGCAGACCCTAGAGAAGAACAAGACATGGGAGATCATCAATCTACCGATAGGAAAAAAACCGGTCGGCTATAAATGGGTGTTCTCTGTAAAATACAAAGTTGATGGCACACTAAAAAGATACAAAGCAAGACTAGTGGCGAAAGGGTACACTCAGACATATGGCATTGACTACCGGGAAACTTTTGCACCAGTAGCTAAGATGAACACTGTCAGAATTCTACTCTCAATAGCAGCAAAGTATAATTGGCATCTTGAAC